TCTTGGCATTGCATCAGACTAGAAGAAACTATTACCATCATCTATTTTTTAACCAAGACACAATTTCACTCAGCAGTTCAATCTGTATTTTGTGTGGAGCCAAAAATATTTTCTTTAGAAAGGCACCCACCTCTTGATCTGAAAACACAATCCCGGCCTCATGGAAGTCAAAATTATGGGTGCACTGATAGAGACTTTTTGGGCCAATCCTGATGGCCAATTTTTAATGGTACATATCAACCGATACTGATCTGATTCTGATATGCAGCCCTGCAGCGACTGGCTGGTAAGGCTGTTGTGGGGGGAGGAAAGGTGTGTGTGGAGGGCAGATCAAGGCCCCCACTGTGAGGGAGGCAGCGGGGCTGGTGCTGGGGCAGGGGCAGACGCTGGCCAGTCAGGGCGGGGCGAGGCATAGGACAGAGCTGCAGCTTGTCCAGGGAGTGGGGGGAGAGGGGGTTGAGTCCCCGCTACCGCACACCACAGCAGGGCATGGGGGGCATGTGCCCCCTGGATCTGTGCACAGGGTGAGGGCGGGCTGCCCCTGCGGGCTGGGGCTGCTCTGGGCTCTTCCCAGCGGGAGCTGGGCTGGGTTGCACTCAGGGTAGGCAGCGGTAGCACTGGGAGCGGAGTTATGGTGAATTTTGGGGTGGCTGCAGCCCCCCTCCCAACTCCTTCCAGTGCTGCCTCTGCCTGCCCCAAGAGCAGCCTGGCCCATCCCCCACTGGGAAGAGCCAAGTGCAGCCCAGCCCACCTTCACCCCGCACACAGATCCAGGGGGCACATGCCCTCCCGGGGTGCGTGCAGTGGCAGGAGCTGCCTCCCCTCCCCAGGCCCCCGGGACAAGCCATGGCTCTGTCCCATGCCCTGCCCCACCCCAGCTGGGCAGCGCCTGCCCCTGCCCTAGCCTCAGCCTCAGCCCCACACCCTCTGTCACCACAGGGGCCTCAATCCGCCCCCCCCCCCATGCCCCTTCCCTCATAACAGACTTACCAACCAGACCCGGTTGCTTGTCATGTTGCCAGGCCGTGCACATGCATGCAACATTTATTGGCCATATTATTGGCCACATCAGACAAAAAACCGACTGCCGATACGCCTAATTTTCCTCATATTGATGCCAATTCAATATGGGACAGATGTATTAGTGCACCTCTAATCAAAAATCCATGATAGCCTTAAAATCCTGGATATCAGAAAATTCCTGTTGAATTCAGCAGG